CATAGTCACTTAGCACCTTATAAGATGGAGATTTGGATGCATTAGTTAGTAATGCTGTTCATGCCTTAAAGCTTGTGAAATATGAGTTTCCGCTGAGGAAAATTGTTTTTTTAAAAAAAAAAAAACGGTTGTCTTAGGTATTTGATCGTGTGTTACTATTCAGTATGATTCATGTATTAATTCCACACTAAGAATGTCTCCATAAAGCCTAATATTATGCTTCTGGGATTAAGCAATATTTCTTAATGTGTTTCTTATCCCAGTATTTTTTCAGAGAAGCTGGAATGGAGCCAATTCATGCAAGGTGCCTACACATTAGTGGTCAGCTCGGGTCAGGAGAGCACTTACAAAGTGAATGCCCCAATCATCCCCACTTGCCCTGCTGTGGTTTGCATCATGAAGAGGGCACAAGAGGTGGATTCCTCTCAGATGAAAGGTGGACAATGCGCACACTGCAATCTCAGCACTCTTCTGCATTATGGATCTGCTCCCGGACCCTACTACTTGCTAGCATAGACATGGCTGCAGCACATTAATGCACCTTAAAATCTCTGGATGGCATTTAGGAGGTGAGTTCACTGGCTGGATTAATTAACCACCAAGCCTGGTATCTTAACTGGCTAATGGTTAATCAGAAGCTTTATTTTCTTGTTTACACCATCTTGTTTATGATGTTGAGTCCAGCCTCAGTAGCACATTAGAAAAATCTGGCTCTATTTGTGAGGTAAAGCACCTTAGTGTCTTGCATAAACCTGAAAAATTAATTTGGAGTAAGACAGGTTTACAACAGAAATGGTTTTGGAAATTACTTCTGGGGGAGTGGTTCAATCAGTATCTATTCCCAGTGGGAACTACTGATCTCCCTTAAGACCCATTAGCTCCACTTTGAAAAGAGCAAGAAAGCATGAGAACTTGCTGCTGAGTGGTCCCTGTCCCTAAATTTCCCTTCTGCCCTTGCTCTCCACCATCCCAACCCAGGTGACTCTCTCTCTTTCCTAATTACACAATAACTACATACCTAAATATAATATTTCTTACATCATGAATGAGACAGTGACAACCACCAGCATCTCTCTGAGCATATGAAGCTGCTCCACCACACTGGTGACCTCTCGTGTTGGTTGTGCTGGGCTGCTCTGGGGCTACAGTGTGACCCAGCTGACAGGACCTTTTGGCTGGCATCACTGGATAGACACTCACCTTTATATCCCCTCCATCTCAGTCCCATCAATGGCCCTGATGTCATCTCCTCTCACTCAATAACATCTCTTCCCCTTCAGCTTCCCAATGCACACAGGGCACAGCCTGTGGCTCTGCCATGACTGAAAATTCTGGTACATGTCCCATATGGTTAAAGAGTTTTTTGCCATCTTTGTTACATGTGATGAGCGTGCTGGTCTCATATCACAGGCTGTGTGTTCCAAACAGACTGTCACAATCCTGAGACTTATCTGAAGCATTGGAGTGAAACGCATGCTGCTCACTGAAGTATTTGATAGTTGTTTTCCTGAGCAGGTGCTTGTTTATTTTTGTTAGTGATTACAACATCTGGCATTTGGAAAATGTTAAGGAGGTGTCAGAGCTACGGAGGAAAAAGGCAACTCCCAAGCTACAAAGGGGTGATGGCAGAATTTATGGGCTGACTGGTGTTGCAAACAAGTGGACAATTATATCTTACTTGCAATACGGAGGGAACATTTTCCTTCTTTGTACCTGGCGCTGTACAAGTGTGCCTCAGTTTTCACACAAGATCTTACAACAAAGCTAGCTGGTCTGCGCAGAAACACAGGTCAAAATTTCAAAACCTTCAGGATGGTATTTAGTGCATTTTTACACTCTGCCCTTCAGAAAGCCCTGTTTTTACAAAAGTTTGTGACAATTAAAATCGCTGTCACAGGTACCAGAACCTACAGATTCAGTGGGATTTCAAGTCAGATTCATATGATTCTTTCCAAGATATCCCATCAGTTGTCTCATTCAGTTTGTCAGTGCCATTTTAAAAACACACAGTTCAACTAAATCCAGCAGCACATAGAAAAAACCTGTCAGCTTTGCTCCAGCCTCTGCTTCCATCAGCATCTGTCAAAAAAGTTAGGGAAACGTGGGTACCCCCACTACACGGGGCACACAAAAACTCACTGACAGAGCTAAATGAAACTTAGCAGGGCCAAACATCCCATCAAAACTCTTGCACAAATCCATTTAACAAGATATTTTCAACCTACTTTTTTCTCCAACCTCCACCCCTGTCTGCCCAGCCACAGGGCAATGGTAACAATGAATTTTGTGTTCAATTTACAGCGATGCTGTGAGATTGAATCGGGCTAGTTCAGACCATGGCTCTGTGAGAGAACATCCCCAACATACACAGGGACATCAATGCAACATGATGACTCAACATCAGCTCGAGGTGTTTCACCCTCTGTCATCTGGCCCTTTATTTCTCTTGTCCTAAGGAATACTGTTTAGCCCTAAGAAAGGCAAAGACAAGGAGGGGGAGAGAGTCCATTCACAATGTCTTTGCCATTTACAATTAAGTTTAGAGCAAGGGTGAATACAGCCAATAGATTTGTAACATTTCAACACCCACCCCCTTTCCTGTAAATTCCTGCAGAACTTTGGCAGCAGAAAGCATAACTATGCTAGAAGTAATGGAATTACAAAAGAAAGAAAGGAAGGGAGTGTAAGCAGTGGGAATAGGAAGAAATAGCTCAACAGATACTTTTCAATTTATATACACACCCTTCTCACATAAACAGAGGTAGTTATCAGCTAACTGACTATTAGGTCGTTAATCAGCTTATCTTCTGAGAACAGTGTTTGGGTGTACAATCAACTACTTCTAGACCACATGTCTCTCCCAAAGACCCTTCAACACTGCAGCTTTTGTTTTTAAGGTAAGCATCAGCAATGCTCTTTTTCCTTTGATAGTACATGTATTTGTGTGGCTATAACAAACTCTAAATAACCAGACAGATTCAAGATGTCATCATTCATCATCAGTAGCTGAATCCACAGAGTTATCATCAGAAGCCTTCATTCCAACAAGATGCCCAATGCTGGGCAGCTGTGTTTTCTGTAGGATCTCTGACTCAGCAGCTAGCACACTGAATAATGAAGCATGGGCAATTACTGAAAATAAGTGTTCTCCATCACAGGCTACAGTTCTCTTAGTTTCCAAATTTAAAAAAAAAAAGAATAAAAGACATGCATGGATTGTTGAACTTTTTTTTCTTTTGGATAATTCAAGTAAATGGACTTTGAAGGAGAAAAAAAGACTATAAAGCTTGGCACAGCAAAACATTTCCATACATATCTATAAACAGGCCTATAGCTAGTCTATAATAAAGGAAACTGTGCAAATCAACTTAGGCACAGTATCTTCAAAATAGATGTACTACCCACAGTCAAACGTGAAGCTATTCCGAGAAATGCTGAAGAAAAACCTTCTCCCATCAGTCTGCCTTCTCCACAAAATCAGTTCAGCCAAGAATTGCGATAGGAGGGGGATGCTTTGGTGGAAGAAGAAAGGGCAGCGCCTCCCGCTCTTACACAGGTGTGACTCCCATCAGGGCACTGGGACATCTTTTGCTCAGAGGTGACCGTGCCTGTGGTTTAGCTGGAGTGACTCAAACCGTGCCTGCTGGCAGGGCTGGTCAACCCTTGCTGCTGAGATTTCTGCACATGACTAGAATAATTTGAAACATGAGCTTGGGCATTGCTGAAATTATATTTTAGGACGTCCCACATGGACAAGCAGATGACCGAATATTGTAACAATCTACTTGAATCAAATTAAATCATTATTATTGCTCCTAAAGCAATTCTATTTATGGTAAGTTACAAGCAGGCCATGTTTGCTGGTGAAGTTTAAGGAAAGCCAAACCATTGAAATGGATGAAGTCACTGAGCAGAAGAAACCATCAGAAACCAAGGCTGCCTTGACCCGCTCACCCTGCCATGGCCAGCAGGCAGCTCTCTATGAATGCAAAGAAATCCTTAGTTTCAGTTCATTCTGATAATTGCATTCCACTCGCATTGCTAATCTGCATTTAAACTAACTGGCATATAAAATACATTCCTACTTTATGTAGAAAAATTAGTGTAAGATGGTAACAGGTGCTACTGCTAAAATCCTGCAGGATTATAACCTGCCAGGAATATTTTCATTAACAGGTTTAATCAAAACATTGCAGTCAACTTATTTCTCCAGCTGGGGACAGTGGCAGGGAGGGATGGGCTGGTCACACACATGTAGGGACTGGCTGGCTCATGCCCAGGAGCGGGCTGTGTGCCACTGTGTTACTCACCTGGGTGTGGAGATGGGCAGCTAAACAGCTCACAAACAACACCCTTGATATGATGCATCTGAGTGGGATGCAAAGAATGGCCGAAAGTGGTGTAGTTGTGTGAAAATATGTTAATTTGGTTACCAACAAAGAGGGAGGGGAAAAGTAATCTTTCAGGGAGGGACAGCAGGGAAATGTGACCTAGAGTACAAATACAAACATGGCAGAAATCGATTATCTGAATGAAGCTTTCCCATTTGCTGATCTAAACCATAATTAAACTGCAAATTCAAATCAATATAGCCTGGTGCTATCTTATCCTCTCAAGTTTTGTATATTTTATTTACACATAATTAATGAACTTCCTTTGACATGTCCTGGATTTAGAGTGCATGAGCAGGCGGTGAATAGTAAGCAATGAAAATGCTGCACTGCTGCTTTTCCATTTGAGCGCAAATAATGGCAACAGAACTCAGGAATTCGCTCCAGTAACGGGGAAATGGCATCAGAGAAATGTCTCCCTGCTTATTCAGACCTTTAGCTGGGGAAGAATCAGGAGCAGTATCAATGTTAATTAGACCACCAACTGCACCATGCAGATCTCCTGCACCAAAGTGTAAAATCCCAAATTGGTACAAGCAAAGCATTTTTACTGTCCCGGGAAGAACAGGGAAAGAGAAAAGAAAAAAAAAAAGGGAGAGCAATTGTGGCTTTCATCAAGTATATTTTGTAATTGTCCATTAAAATATGTACCCACATCACAAAACACTTTAAAAAAACCAAGTATTTTTAATTGTATGTACAATAATGCAAAAATATGCCTAAATATGTATCTAATGCAAAAAAATAAACCATTTAATAAAATCTCCCTTCAAATGTCCCCTTGCTCTTCAACACATTAAAAAAAGGACAGAGCTCAGTAAACAAACAGGAGTTAAAACACAAACTAAAAGATGAGAACAGTGCAAAGCAGACTCTGAGGAATGAGAATGGAGAGGCATCTGACTCAGCTTCCCATTCCCCTGGATTTCACCATAACTACGGTGCAACTTTGTCCTATGCCAGTTGAATTTGGTTTTAAAAAGTCACCCTGGTATTCAAGCTATAAGAGGCTGCCTACGGCACTCATTTCCCATGTGACCAAAAAAAGTTAATGATAATCCAACTAAGCACCCTTTAAACCCCCTTAAACAGGGATGAATTTCACCCTAGGCAAATATTTCAAGTTCTGTATACCACTGCTAAGCAAAGAGACCTCGTCCAACCAACAATATGGACTAAAGTCTACCTGGACAACTGTGGTGGGAGAGAGACTTCTGCTATTTCATGGTGTGGTGGGTTGACCTTGGCTGGACACTGAGCTGCTATGGAGAAATGAACTCCATCTCAGCCAGACCCAATACACACCGCTACTTGTTCAGTCGTTTATTCTTTCTGCATTCTCTAGGGAACTGCAAAGAGGGCTCTAGTCTTAGAATTTCAGTAACACAAATATTTTGTGTTTGTGACTTTGCAATTTCACTGGTAGTTGGGCTTCTAAATATTTCTGAAGACTAGGTCCAAGTTAAATGAGGTCTGAGTTATATGAGACACTTCAGTTGCAAACAAAAATGCTGATCTGATTCTTACTTGGATGAGTTTAGGTGACTGATGTGTATCCTTTATCTTGCTAGAGTTACTGCCCTCAGAGTACAGCAGGCTGCATGTGACACAGCTCTTGTCTGCAAAAGCAATCGGAGGAGGTTTCAGTACTGCTCCCTCAGGAAAGGTGGCAGGAACTGAAGCGCTATTTAAAAAACCTGCTCATAAGGCACTGGTGCAGCAAGGTTTGGGATGAACATGGTTTGTTTTACGATTCCTATTTTTCAACTGTTTAAAAGTCAGTCCATTAAATCAAGCATAAATAGCAATAAAAAGGCATTAGAAAAGTTCGAAACCAAAGAAATCAACTTAGTATTGGAAGTTAATTTACGACAGTCTCTCTTCAGTGCACACACAAGATCCTGCATGTTATTTTGAACTCATTGTTGGCTCATGCTCACCCAATATACAAAAGTCCCCCGACAAAGTCGTGATGCGCTGAACATCTTCTACGAACAAGAAACTTTTAGATGACATAGTTACACATTAAACTTACAGACCGTGGACAGGAACATACATTGGCTCACCCACTGTACATATCTATTCAAAGCTTTAACAGCATAAGAATATACACAATATATACACTTAATTCACACAGTAAAACAGCCCTCAACGTCTGCTATTTTGTAGGGCTATGCATTTCTTCTATTAAAATTCCACACATGGAATTATCTCTGTGCCAGCTCCTCTTCATAAGCAATAGGATCACTTCAAGGTAAATTAGCTCTTCATGTATATGTAAGAGAAACAGGGAAAGCTCAGCCTCTAGTCATCACTGTCACTCCCAGACTCACTCAACTGCAAGTCATTTCCTATGGAAAACAAAAAACAACAAAACACAACAAGTGAGTAGGTGTTAACTCACATTTCATGGCAATCAAACCAAAAAACGGTCACGTTTACACTGGAAGATTTAAATAAGAATAACATATGAAATTAATGCCAACATCATCTGTCATTTAATGGAACTGCTCTCCATGCCCAAGAACATCAAGAACTGCCAATACACAGTTGGATCCAGGCCAAACCAAGCGTCCTTGGCTCCACAGCCACCAAAGTCACTCCCTGGTGGGACAACAGCCCTCTCCATGCTAGCAGCTGTGGAAAGCATTCCACAGCCTCCACGCAGCCAAGCTCCCGTATATGGCTCTGGGACAAGGCACTGGGGAATTCCTTGGCTTTCTCAGCCCTTTTTAAAAAGATTTTTTTTGCTTAAGGCCATTTGGGTAGCCAAGACAAGGCCTCCACATGTCAATAAACCAAAAGGAATGTTAAAGCCATCACAGCTCAAGGCTACTGGCTGAACTAAGCTGACGCGTGTTGTGACTGCAAAAGCTCCCCTCCAAAGTGCAAAGAGGGATTGGACTAAAGGCCAGGATATGGATCAAACTTACCGTCTCAGATCCTGTTTTGCAGAGCACTTGTGATTTGGTGAGGTGGAGGGGATAAAAAGGGGCAAGAATCATGCTTGTGTTCTGGTAACTCAACCTAGCTCTTCCAGCATTCTCCCACGGCCCTGCCCCAAAACAGCTGCAGAGCAGCTATGCAACAACTATGCCCTGGATTTCATCCCCTCTACCCTTTTACAAGGCAAGAACTTGGGTTAGCTGCGATTCTTCCCATAGCAAAAGGATTTTAAACCCAAAGGCAAAAAACACTGCCTGAGTAGAAGAGCTACCCTACCAGTTCCCAGATTCTCCTGCTGTCAGAAGCTTCTTATCATTCAGTGGCCTGTGCAGTATTGTTTTCATGGCCCAGGAGAAGCAGGAAGGAGGCTGCTCACAACCAGACACAGGGAAATGTACAGAGTCCTAATGACTTTGCTGAACTTTGGATTTCACTTAGACATTCACTACTGGCAGGAAGACTGACAGGGCTCTACAGTTTTCCAGCAGGCCTTTTTGGTATGGTCTGTACATTATACGTGTCTTCTCAAAGCTGGAAACCCTACATACATCTGTATTCAAACTCTACTGGTTCCCTATGTATGAGTGCCAAGAGATGCACACAAACATGCCTCAGGAGGAATTAAGAACAATTTATGATAATTGTAAATGCAATATTTTAACTTCACTGAGTTAGAATACACCTGATCTAGCATAAGGAAAGAGCAACACAGATGTACAGCATGTCCCCAGAGAGATCCTCATGGGACAGAACTATGCTCTAAAAATGTTTCTTACACTTCTTAAAGGGTGAAGTGAGCTTGTACTGATTCAATGCTTGCAAACCCGTAGCTGCAGTATTTTAACCAAACACACAGCACTTTAAGTATCCCTTCAAAATGTGGTAGTTGTGAAAATACAGCTGAGACCAACACAATAAATACTCTGACAAAGCAATAGCAGAGATCACAGAGATTGTGCATTTATGAACACAGAACAGCCTTGTGCCATTCACAATTCTTTACAGACCTTTAAATGACAGCCCCCCTATTTCCATCTAATCTGTGTTTTCACATTAAAGTAATCCCCATCCTTCAGTGCACCAGATCCTCCCGCACCAGTGGGTAAGTTCTTTTCTACACACTCATTCCACCTGGAGGCCTGAATAAAGGCTCACCAGAGCCAATGGGGGCCACTGCCCTGATGCCCGCAGGCTCTCCATACCTTCAGAAAGTTCTCAGCCCTCTGTTCACAGAATGTGCCCACGTATTGAAATTGTACTGCATGCCAGTGCAACTCCCTGGGACTACTCTTTGGCAAAAAGGCACTTCATGGAATTTAGCCTAACGTGCTAAGTAAATGAGCGGTCTTAATCAGCTTTCAACAGTGAGAAGACACAAGCATTTACTTACGGAGCGTGTTCATGAGCTGATTGCTTCCTTGCGGCCTGCTGGTGCCGTTAGCGACAGCATTCCTGTTGTTATACTGCTGGTGTGGTGGTTGGGAAGGGGAAACATGTGCTGCCTCTTCCCCCTCACTGCTGGAGCTTTCATCTTCACTCCCAGATGAGCTTTCTGAATCCGATGAGCTGCTCCCACTGCTGCTGCTCATCTGCTCAATAATTTCAACCTCTGCTCTCAGCTCTGAAATAAAAAGACATACATCTGGTTGAAACCATAAACAGGGCCCCATGGAATTTTGGAAAAGAATGTGAAAATGCAATAGTTTTGTCAAGTATAATTTGTCACGCCAAAATATCTCACATGAAAGAGAGACACAGGAAGGGAAACAAAAAAATTCTGAACACTTTTTTACTTATTTCTGTAGCTAAATTTAAAGAGGCAACAGCATAGGTTAGTATCAGAAAACCTTCCCTTCCACTATTATTCTTTATGTACTTTACACTCCTGAAAGCACTTCCACCTTCTTTATTTTCGACAGGCTATATATGCTCTACATACAAAGTAAGTATCTTTCCTGATCAAGGAAATCTAAACCTAAATTGTTAAATGCCAGTGACATTTAGGCTTTTGGAAAATACAAAAAATGGGGGGAGGGGTGTGTGTTGGGGGAACATGGACACGGGCAAATGATCACAACAGAAAATGCCTCAGCTTCAGCTAATATGTGAAACTGTTCCAGTGCAGTACCAGAGCTCATTTTAAACAAACTTAAGAAGCAGATGAGTGACATCAAATAATCTTGCAGCGGAGCAGATGAGAATAGCTGAGAATTTTCACATGTTGGAGAGTGGTAAAAATACCATAACCTGCTACAGAGCATACAAGTAGCCAGGAAAATAAGGAAACTACTCTGAAACTTGAAAGTTATTCAAGTCAGACACTCCCCACTTCAGGGTTTCCAGTGCAAAGAAACACTGGAGTACCATGACAGCACCACAACAGCTAGTGTTGGCTGAATGACTGGTTATTAAAGAGCTATTAAGGTAGGTCACCCCAAATCACATAATTATGACACATTTAACAATATTGTAAGTGGCCTAAACACTACTAGACGACAATTCTTTTGTATCTACCGACAAAGCTGAGTATGTAATGACTCAGTTCACTTAGGCAGGTTTCCATGAGAGCAACATTCACACATATTTTAAGCATAGGATGCGAAACCCTCAAAATTTAGGCTTTTGTTGTGCTGGCAGTTTTATAACCACAAGGTATATACCCTGGAGAAGTCACATGCTAAAGGGACAAGAATGAAGGAAGGGAGAGATGAGGTATTATCACCTCTACCTGACAAATGGAGAACTCATGCCAGGAGTAATTCACTTAGGTAAGACGTGTGTCAGAGTGAGATGAACCCCAGCTGCGCAGATCATGACACCTTTCTTGTGTATGGCATAGACAGATCATGTACAATTACTGCTTCCTTTATGTAAAAATGGCACAATTTAAATATATCTTATCTTCATCCCCTGCAGGAGTAAATCTGAGCAACTGAAAGTCTTCTCTTCTTTAATAAGATCCTTGGGCTGCCTAACATTATAGAATAACAGCTAAGTTTTCAGCGTCCACAATATTTACTGGAGAGAATTCCTCTAGCTCAGCACGTATTAGTTTGAGAAATTATGTTTTCTTTTGCCAGTTTTAAAACCACTATTTTTCAATTTCAAAGTTCTCAATTTCAAGTGCTATAGTTATACTACAGCTGGGCATTTAAGGATAGCGGTGTTGTTCCTCCAACTTACTTCCTAAATCTAGATCCCTGCCTAGACCACCTATGCTCTCTGTACTTTATTAGTATGCCAGGTAAAACCTACTCTCATCCCAAAGACATAGCATATGAGAACATTGGAAGAGGGAGGAAGAATATATGATTAGGCCAACAGAAGATACTACGTTGTACTATAATGTCTTTCTCCCTTATGTCCTCCCAACATGGTCTTGCAGGCTTTAAAAATCCATTTCAGGCCTGGAGTCTGATACAAAGACAAATGAGCACTTGTAAGTCACTGTTCTCAGCCTATTCATATAGAGGATTTCAAATTGTAAATGTTCCTTGCATTCAAGGCTAAGAAATTAATAGGGGAAAGCTATAGGAAAGATAAGCAATAAGGGTTCTTTCCCTTTAAAATGCTCAGGTTTAAACTTTTTTTCCACAGCGTAATGATGTAAAATTTCCACATACTTCTATTGATGGAGTTGTTAGTTGCAAATTAAAGTGATGATAATAACACATTGTTAAAATATCCTGCATTGCAGCAAGCACAACTCCCTGTCACAGTCCATGTTGCAAAAAGATACAATAAACAAGTCTAACACAAGACAGGTGCCTGAGAATTACACATGTATGCTTACATAGCTAGAGTCTGTGGCTGAAAAGGAGCAGTGTTGGCACACAGGCTAAGAACAACAGAGCCCAGAAAGCAGCATTTAAAATAGTATGAAGGTGAAGAGATCTAAGGCACTGGTGGTGAGAGGGAAAAGGTGAAACAAAAATGTAAGCCAGGGAACTAGGAAAAAAAAAAATCTAAGCAAGAAGTTTGAACTCTATACAGTAGGCAAAGAGATAACTGAAGGAAGGGATGCTGTCTGACCAATGAGAAAGAAAATTAGCCAGGCCAATTTTAAACAGAATTACAGATTAAAGTCAGAACGAAAAGTGGGGGTTTTCTCCTGGGGAAGCAGAAAACTAAGACCCCATAAAAGAGGTTTGGTTACGAGGAGGGAACAGTAGAATGCCTTGGAAGAAGTGGTAAGGCCCACTACACTGAATACAGGCAAGAAAAAGCAAAACAGCACCAGCATCACAAGCTTCAAGGACTGGGAAGTTATCAGTGACAGTGGTCACTGGTGGAAACTTGGTTAGAGTCCATCTTCTAGTGAATTTTTGCCTCACAGGCTGACAGCTTCCCTTGAGGAATGGGTTGTCTATTAATTTCTTGAGTCCAGAATTCTAAACATCTCATCTGCACAGATGAGAAAAAAACAATTGTTTTCACTAATATTATGGTGGCTGATGCAGCACTAGAAACCTGTCAGGCAGAACTCCAGCAGGACCACTAAGAAAGTCTGTTCAAAATAGTCTTGTGTCACACCATTAAAGACAGTAGCTAAGCCAGTGATGACACCAAGGCCTTGTAGGAAAAACATACCTGCTTTAGAATTGTCCAATTTTGCATTTTGCCATTTGACTGCTATGCTTAGTGCAGTTATAGGTACTGAAGCCATGGCTACACATTTCCTTGCAGTGCCTCCAATTAAAATAGTTGTGTGTGTGTATGTGTACATATATTCTAATCTGAAAAACAACAGTGTCTGACCTTTCCTAGATCTTTTTGCGTCATAAGATCAAACACCTCACGTTGATGTGCCTTTAAGTTTTAAAAGATGAGAAGAGTCAGGCTGTGCAGCAGTTACTTTTAAAAAAGCTTTCCATACAGCACAGTTCTGAACACTTGCCTTAATTGAGTCTACATCACCTGAAAAGGCTGACACTGCTGTGGGAACCTTAACTTTTCTACATTTCATGTTACAGCTGTAGGATTTCTTTCAAGAAAACAAAACGGCTTACTGTTTTACACTATGCAGCTTGTAGAGTAAAAAAACCCTCAAGATAAGAAACCATTATCCAAACAGAAGACTCTTTCTCAACAGGGCTGCCTTCTGTATATATTCAGTATCAAATACCTTATTTTCTTTCCATAATCATGTTTAACTGTTCTCACTTCTCTCAATTCCAATAGGCTATGAAGGATTTTTAACTAAAGCCCTAACCTTGGGCTCCAAGAATACCAAGGACTTTTAGAAAAAAGTCATTCAGCTTTAGGTAGGGTAAGATTGTTTGCCTATAGCAGAACATCTACTGTTAATAATAGTATGCAAGGTGGAGAGAAATCAATTTGATACTGGCACTTTGAGCATGTGGAGATGGCACATAAAAGAGGCAGTATTTTATACTGAAGTGCAAAAAATTTCATTGAGGTGTTCTTGAAAGACAAACAGTGCTATGGCACAATCCTCAAGCACTACAGCTGCATGTTAAGTGAATAAGATCTCACATTTTTAAGCACCGAGTTTAGACTCTCCAAAACATAAATATGTTTCTGTGAGTTTTTTCCCAAATGTTGCAATTATGTCAATGTTATTGACATATGTCAATATGTTGCATGCTGTAATTACATCAATGTTATTGAAAACATTTCTGTTGTGGTCAAATATGTCTGATGAACACCAATTACTTCATGCACATAAATGGCTATATTGTGGTATATGTCAGTAAATGTCTGCTGCTTAATGAAACATTATCAGATGTAGCTGAGTACTCAAAAGAACAAGCTCTTACCCCCTCCTATGCTCCCTTCAGGCAGGAGGATAATATAAAAGCTCTCAGGGGAAAAGATTCCTCAGGTGCAAAACCCTACACACAGCCTCCCAAAGGCCTCTCTCTGTGAAGGAAAGGAGTGATCCAACCCCCATATGCTCTGACTCTGTCCTCAGACACTGTTGTTTGGACAGCTGTGTAATGGGATAGAGAACTGACCTACCTGAAAGTTCATTTTCCAGCTCATCTATAAGTGGAGCTATGGAAATGTACCGGGGAAAGCAGAAATCTGCACTGAGGTTACCTTAAAACTACTGTTAAACATCGTGAGGACTGTGTGTCTTACCACACCCTTAAGTAGGGCACACTGGAAGCAAAAGAGTGTCATAGCGCCAGAGAGCCTTTCAAGCACCTCCTCTGGGGATTTTAAGTTCTGTGCTGTGTTCATTAAAGAAAAACCACAAATTTCAGCTTTATGTTTATCTATCTTTTGTACAGAGAAGGCACTACAACCAAAAGGAGAGCTACTACTTGAATGGAAAGAACACAGTCTCTTCAGAACTTACAAGTTTGTGTTCATAAAAAGACACACTAAGGGACGATAGCAAGTCTTACAGCTTTTATAGGTAAGTTTCATTAACTACTTTCATTGTAGAATAGTGCCATTTTAGTTCTACCTTTCCCAAGTAGATTCTTATCATATAAATGGTTTAGTAATGCTGATGCTCTAGATCCTCAATGCTGGAAAAAGTTCTATACTGTAAGCAAAAAACACCCTTGGCCAGGCACTTGGCTCTTTTTGGGTCTTGAACAAGTCTCCCTATAAAACACCAACTTGAACTCCTTTTATTTGTACAAGTCAGGTGCTCTTCTGCTTGATTTTAGAAACAAAGCTCTACAGGTTACTTATTTAGAGGTACTTTCCAATAAAAGATGAACAGGTGGCAAAAAAAAAATACTAGGACAGTTCTGAAAAATGTGACTTATACTTTAGACCACTAGAAAATGGTCTTGTAGAATAGATTTCACCCCAGATAATTATTTTACTATAACATGAACTTTACAGATTGCTGCAGGTATACAGAAGAGTGCCCCAAAGGTTAAGTGACTTATTACACCCTACATGAAAAGACATTTAAAATCCACTACTGATTCAAATTAAAAAGTTGTGTTATCTTTCTTCTTACCTATTACAGAAAATAAAAATGACAATGCAGCTAAGGGAACTGTAGCTAACAGAAACTCTCAGACGTTGATTCTGTCTGCTGACCAGCATCCAGGTATTGAAAATACTACTGCTGCAGAAGAGTCAGACCAGTCAGCACCTATGCAAACACACAGACAGCTTAGCAGTAAAAATGTCACCTAGTGATTACCATAAATTGAAAAAATACCCTGAGTAATTAACATCATCTGGGCAATTAACATAGGCTAAGTCTACAGACAAAAATAGCTATATGGGACAGAATAAAAAAAAGAGAAAGAAAATGAAACCCAGAAAAAAAAAAAACAGACAGAAAGAACAAGCTTACAGGCTTAAAATAAAATAAATACATCTGGTGCCAGAGAAGAAACACAAGAAAACCAAATAAAAATTTAAATTTAAAGTCTTCCTCATTCAGACTGTATTATCCACAGCAAAAACAGATATCACACCAGTACAAGGAGAAGGGCATGGGCAAGAAAGTGCATCCTGCCCACAGAGAAACACTGAGACAAAGCCTTGCTGGAGCAGAAGAGTGAGTTGAGCCAATCATCCCTTCAAGATACTTTAATATAAGTTTAGCAACTGTATGGCAGACGTGATCAAAGCTGCAAGGGAGTGGTTGTGGGAAAGGGGAAGTTGCAGGGTTGGTCTCTCTCATTCCTCCCCTACTAGCACTGTTTGGCACGGTGCAAGCTTGTCTCGTGCTGGGAACACAGCCACCTACCGCTTCGATCACACCGACAAATTCCAGCCTTATTCAGTGCCGGAACAACTTTTGTCCAAGTGACTTGATTGCCTAACTAGATCTTGGACCATTAACTTTTGTTATTGTTGTTGCCTAAGACACCCATGCAATTTGTATAGCACTCAGCTATAGGTTTCTGAATTCGGGTTTATATTTTTCTTCTTTTCAGAATGGAGAAATAATTTGGAAGATAGAAAATTATCCAGAAAGAGGAAGTTCTCTCATGCCAGGAGACTGCAGTATAAATATCTATTCTTGCAAAGGACAATAAATAATTCACTAAGATGCCTTAAAACAAGATATAAAGATGACAAAACAGCTGTCAAGTACCATCTTTTAATTCCTGAATGTTTTTAAAAATTGCGCAGTCATAGTTTTTATTAGTATGAAGAAAAACAGAACCAACCAAAACTCAGGAAACTACAAACCCTTCTTTACCTCTCTTAATGTCATCCAGCTGAGGCTCAGGTGAAGGGTTATCCTTCAAAGGAGAAGTTTTAGGTCCAACTGCTGGCTTGGTTGGGGCTCTGAACTGTGAGGGAGGCTGAGATGCTCGGGCAGACTGTTGTTCTATTCGGGCTTGGATCTTACTGCTGCCCTCTGCTCTGAAAAAACAACCAGAGATATTCAGCAATACTGTGCAACCGTGTTCAGCCTTTTCAATATCCCTGTACTAATCAATCATCTGTGACTTCTTTTTGTACAGATCTCTACTTTGTTATATAATGATAAAAGTGAAGTACAGCTTTCTGGATGCAACACTTGCTTTCAATAACAAAGAAACATATACAACTACACTGCAACAGCCTTACGAAATCTATTTTCAAATCCAGATGTGGTTTAGTGATGCCAAATTCTCTACTTGAAAAACAATGAAGGCTTTAATTTAGTAATTAATATTTGTATTTTTAAAAAGAAAAATCAATAACAGTAATTTAAAGTAACTACAAATCCTCTCATAACAAAATCCTGCTTAAAACAATCACAGCAAAAGAAACAATTTTCTCACTTGCAATTAAATCATCTCAAACTGAACTCTCTTAGAGGTCAACCTGCCAAGAGTAATCATTCCTACTGCTAAATACAGCATGCAAGCATTTAATTCCTGTTTTTCATTTGTTTGCTGTTAGTCCTTAAAAATAGTTTAAGCCGTTTCCTTAGCGGAAAATAGTGTCCACAATAACAGTATGCCTAACTGTTCAATTCAAACCAGGTATTTCTTCCTTTTACTGAATCAATTATGTGATTGAGACTGTAGGACAGTCAATAACCCTGGCAGAAAAAAAACCCCAAACAACAACTACGAAACCAAAATAGGTTCCTTCACAGTACACCATAATAAGGTTAAAGGGTGCAGGGTATTTATCAGGTAACACCAAAGCCCTCGGGGGTATGGCTTTATGTGGTGTAGCACAGAAGCAATCTACGTGGATATTAGAGCTCAGTTTCAGTTCTAGGAGGGTCGTACCTCAGCAGTGTTACACTTAGTGTCTGTAAACTAATCCCACTGAGAGATAAATTAAATTAGCCCATGTCAAACTTCCTGGGACTTCACCTAAACCACTTGTGGTACCTGAGCTAGTACATTCAGCATTTACTTGGGTATCTCTGTACCTCACTGAACTCTACATCCAGCCTCACAGAGAACCACCCCTTCATTTATCAGTGACATGCAGCTACTAGATACCACAGTAATGCAGTTTACACAGCCTATCTACAACAGAAGTGAGGATTTGGGAATATACTCACCGTATCAAGTGAAACATAAAAGCCAAAGGCTGTTTCTGGTAGTAATTATGCTCTTGGAACTACAGAAGGTTTTATGTAGAGTAAGTTCACTTACTCCCCTGTGAATGCCATCAAGGTGTTAAACACTAGTTCCCGCAGAGTGTCAAGAGGTCGTTAAAGATCAGAATAGCCAGGAAAAAAAACAAGGCACTTCTGATCTAGAAAATGAATGACTTTGCAAAGCACTAGTCCTCAAAACAGGGATCCCCAATTTCTTACTACCCTGCCTCTGCTTGAGAAAAATTGAAATATTTCTCACCACACCAGAGCCAAAACTCAGTGTATCCAAACACCTCCCTAAACTCAAACTGTCCTGCACTTAATTAATTCCTCTGACTTCAACTTCACCTGGATAAAGTTCAGCAGAACTTAAATTGGGAATTCAAGTCTCATCTGTGATACGCTCATGTCTGCTGGAAAAGATGAATGCCACATGGATGAGTTTTCACATCAGTGATTCAGAGTAGCGTTACATTGTCCATTTACCTTGAACTCAAGGTGTTCTTGGCAAACACCCAGCCAACTACTGATGAGCTGCAGACCACGTTTCTAGTACCTTTAGCAGCTGAGAGTTCTACACTGCAATTATGTGGGGTTTTTTACATAAACTTGTAAGGAGTTTCTTCTCCATGAGACATTTGAATAACTGCTTTCTCTTTACATCTCAAATAACCTGTGGTCCAGTGATGCTGAAAGCACACAATCCAGAGACTTCAGGTATTTGCTGAGCAGTAAGACTGCTAAGAAATGTTCCAACTGCATACTTTGTAGCATTTTGCGGCAAATTAAGAATATTGGGTCGGAAAGGACTTCTGGCTTCAGCAATTTTTCTAGGCAAAAACCTCATAACCATTTTTTCTACAGTTGTCCCCACCCCTCCACCAGCTGGAGGCTTTCATACTTGCCTTTCACTTTTTATATCACTAATCCAATACAGGGATGAGTGCTCTTTGTTCCCTAAGGTAATGTTATTAAAACATCATGACTCCCACAGGAACCTGTAAGGAACAAACCTAGAAAGTCCAATGGTCTAATATCTCCATGGTCTTTTGCAGCTAAATCAGAGATTCCTGAAACACATCCTATCCTTCAGCCAGCTTCTAAAGCCTCAAATCATCAGAGGTGTTTCATCACAAACTATAATTACGTCATTTCAGCAGTGGAGAATTTACAAATTCTTTACTCTTGGATTCATACTTGGGACATGATAATTGGCCATGTAAAGGCCACAAGGCTTAGTAATTAAACATCACTACAAAATAAAAAAAGAGTTCTGTTTCAAAAAACAGTCTGAAGAACAAACTTCAGCAAGAATTAATCCTATCAACAACCGTGTCCCCAGCTTTACCTTGTTTTCTTGACTTGAATGCTGCTACTAAGTTTTTCCAGCACATATTCCCCAGTGTCATGATTGATAATAAGCACACAGTCCTTCTGATATGGCCTTTTATTTCCTTTAAAGACAGTCATTGGTGGAGTTGAACCCTGGTACAAAGAAAGCGCACATATTTGTTTGGTTATATTCCCCTACCCAAAAGTTTTTAAACACTAAGAGAAAAGAATATATGCATTGTTCTGAACAAGAGGCTAAGTACTTAATGTTTAGTTCCTACAGAAAACATTCATTAATGAGAAGAGAAAAACGCAAAGAAAATGCGCAGTAGATCAGACATTTCCTCACAGCAATATTATGCCTTTCATCATTTTAAGTGTCTCTGCAGTGACAAAACATCTTCTCCACGGTTGCCATTATTTACAGTTCTCATTTCTAAAATGGCAGCATAACTATATTTGCATAGCTGGCCCTGACAAGTGTTAGAAATCTTCTTAGTGTTTCTGCTATGGAAATCATGGGTTTGGATAAGAAATAAAATTCTAATTATTTGTGTAGCACAACTATTGCCCAAAGAAATATGTGGTCAATTGAAAAAGAATTTAAACTGCTTTGTATATTTTACATATATATATATATATATATATATCAGTATTTTCATGGTGGATTACAAGCAACTGTCACAAACTATGCAAGACTAGCTGCTCTCTTAAAAGTTAGATTAGCACGTACATGCCCATGCAATTATACTGAAATGTCTTCTCAAAAGCAAACAGCACATTGTGATGCCTTCCAGAGAGTCCCAAAGTCCTCACAAGGCTGCATAGAGCCATAGAAGTCTAAAGGCTTAGACTTAGAAGCAATAAAGGCAACAAACTCCTGTGGTGGTGCACACTGGCTAACTGATAATGCCAAGATCATGCTCAGCTGGGCTGCATCCACGCACAGGCTGGTTCATACACCCGGTTTTGGGGTTACAGCGGGTGGAATTTATGGTCTGTCTGCACATAACAGGATGGATGCACATCTGGCCACGTCACAAAGGCCGTGACATATGTTCTCAGCTATGAAACATTCTCAGACTTCTCTGTAACGTATAGCTTCTGTAAAAAAGAAATTTTTTAAAAATTACATGTTTATTCATATTCACCTTTGCACATGCTGTAGGAAAGCAACTAAAATCAGGGAGAAAAGGAAAAAAACTGCACTCTCCTACATTTTATTCTGAATAGCAAAAATGAACAACCATATTTTAACCATTTGGAGAGCAATTCCTATTCTCCATATTCCTAAGAGACAGAATATATTTGAATTTAAAATAGGTTCTGAACAATAAAGGTGAAAAATCCAAATTCCCAACAAAGACACAGTAAGAAATACAAACACAATTCAGAAAGGATGTCTCAAGGAAGTCTAGTCTTCAAAGGCACGTTACATTTTTATCATTCCTACATTTAAGAGAGGAAAGCAAAATTTAAGAAAATAAAAAGCAAGCTGAAAGTCAAATCCTGCTTATTGTTGACAACTAAGTCAGGAAACGTAGAATGCACAAATTTAATGAAAATTGATCAAAGTTTGTTCGTTACCCAGAAGCCCCCTTACTCAGCAAAGACCGTGATCTTGGCTAAAAAAATACGTAGAAATGTAACTGCTTAAGCAAATTAAGAGTCCCACTCATTGACATAAAATTAAATGTATAGGGTTTATGTTAGTGTCTAAATAACACTGGCTTACAGATTGTGCTGGTTACAGAATAGAAGAAGGAGGAAGGTGAAATAAGTAACATTTAATCAATTTGTTTTCACTCCTGATGGTTTTTTGCCTCCCAGAGTTCAAGAAATGTTTGGACAATGCTCCCAGGCATGTGGTGTGATTCTTGGGGTTGTTCTGTGCAGGGCCAGGAGCTGGACTTCAATGATCCCTGTGGGTCCCTTCCAACTCAGGATATTCTATAATCCTCTATAATCTTCTTCTGTAGTAATCTAACGAACAGAAATTCCTCACTTCCCCAACCCAGACTGTTTATCAAATATTAAAGTCACTAAATCCACATGTAGAAATAGTATTTCAAGCAGCAAGGGACACCAAAATATCTCTGCTGAACAAATTATCAGGGATATCCTCAGGGATCAGGAAATTAAAAAAAAAACAACAAAACACTTAGAAACTGAATCCTATCCAGTTGTTGGGCAACTGGGAACAAAAACAAGATCCAAGAAATTCAGTAAAACTTGTCAGGACAAAATGATCTCAAAACTTCTCACTCTTTTCCAGCACGCCTAGTGTTTTCCAACTCTCTGTCCGTAACAGAGGCAGCACTGCCCTGGAACAACACACACATAGTGGCTTGGCTGCTTCAGCTTCTGAAGCACACTATAAGCTTAAAGCTGTTCATACTCGGGGGAAGAGAATCAAATTAAGCTCATCAGTACAGAGATCTGGAAAGGAACATTACAAGTGATGTTGCTGAACACAAAAGATGAAGGAGTAACACTGTTTCCCATCAATCCAAGATGAATGCTGCTATTAACTGCATTGTTACCTGCTCTCAAATAGCACTACCATGCTCATAATTTTCATAGACCTGTATGTGATCTCCCGCAGCACTAAAGGTGAGCAAAGCCATATAAAAACCAGGAGCAGGGCAAAGCAGGCTAAAGCCTCATTCGGTGAGAATTATCACAGTACCAGTCAAAGCCACCGAGGTGCTAGAATAAACACTACCAAAAGGATCTGACACACAGCTTCCAAACTCACTGGTGCCCCCCTGCAGCCACCAAACCCATTGATATCTGTGAATTCTGGTTTATTGGCTTGACACATGGCATTAAGTTCAGCTAATAAAACAAATCCAGTTCCAGCGTGTGAGCACTTTCTTTTGTTTTGGTAAGGAAATGACTGAATTCTCTGTTACAAAACAGCTGCACCTATAAATGGTTTGATCACTTGTTTTACTGCTGTTTGACCATCATCCTCACACAGTTGATCTTTATGGCATAATTAGAGAAGGAAGTGGATGGGAAGCCACTTCATTGCTGCTCACCAGAACCACCCCCCTTGCTTCCACTAATAAACGTAAAGACAGGGAATCCTCTATGTCCTATCTGCACGTTTCAGTAATGGCAGGAATATGCTTACAGGTCTACCTGCGGCTCCTGAACATCAAACCTTGACTAAAGCCCAAGTTACACTGCCTTGCTTCATTAAGCCATAGGACTAAAAACAGATGGGAACCAGGCATACAGCTTCAGTTAACAGTAAATGTCTCCTTGTTATTCGAGGAAGAACAGGAAAGAAGGAACCAAAAAGAAAGAACAAACTGTAACCTTACAAATATAACCCTTCACTAAGATCCAATTGTTCAGTCCTTTCCTAAGGTAACACACTATAAGTCTGGCCACTCAAATATTGAACCCACTAATGTTAGCAAAGACAAAAGTGAAAACAGCCTTTACATGAGACTGAAACTACACTGTAAATTTGCTGGAGAGTAAACAAGGACACATACATAACAGACTTACTGGAATATGTGGCAAAGTGATTGTAACGTCATCTCCTTTACCCACTTGGAGGTCCCCCTCACAAGATGTATCAATTGATGCTGGCTTAAAATCATCTGAAGAGGAAAACAATTGTGATTACATTTCTTAGAGTCTTCAAAAGCGTCATCTTGCCCTGCAGAGAGCCAGCATACACTTAACTGTGATTATAGGGAACGCTATAATACACATTAGCGTTTACAGCAGGGGTGGAATAACACACCAGGACACTGTGCCTACATGTAGCGCCCCAGTCATATGATGGTACCATATTCTGAACTTCCCTTTCAAAATGGAAAAAAGGTTTTAGACCTTGTGTTTGAAGACTAAAAGTAGACTTCTCCAAACCCCAGGCTTTGAGTGGCACTTAGTTTTGCAGGCAAGTGTAAAACTGTACCATGCATCTCAAGAGTATCAACTTCCCAGACCTGGGCTCTGCATGGCTCTTGCCAATTCCAAACCTGAGGGCTCTCTCTGTGACAAACACTACTTTAGTGACACCAATTCATTTAGCCTCACTGATATTTCCGGCTATTTAACAGCCTCCACAATAGCAGCAAAAGTTCCACAAGGGTGGAGGCGACCTCAGATCTCACTTAAGGGGGGAAAAAAGAGGCGCTGATCTTAATTCAGCAGTCTCCATGTTAGTCCAAAGCCACTGTGGATAAAAAGCATGACAAAAGGGAGGCGTGACAAAAGGCTTTAAACTAACACTCATTTTAAGTATTTTTGCTCCATTGTATAGAATGCTTTGTCTCCCCATCAAGGGACTTCTGTTTAATATATTCATTTCAACTAAGAACATGTTAAGTTAAAAGTATTTTCCCCTCATTATTCTGTTGTGCTAATGAGCCATAAAAAAAAAGAAAAAAACTATCAGAACCTCTAATATTCTGACAGAGGATTTAGACAAAGTGAAATAATTTCAGACAGATATAGGTTGGTTTGTTTTGTTTGTTTTTAAAAGAATCCTCCATTCAATTATAGCATCCTTGGATATGAAGAGGTGCAATTATATTCATGATCAAGGCTTTTAATTACTGCGTTGGTTACGAAATTATTACCTCAGAACAAATTTAAAATATAATTCCACTATGAAAAACACATTTGCAGAAAAAAAACCCCAACCCTGGCTCGTAATAAATTCTCATTAAGAGGATGTTAATGTTTAATTGAGTTTTACTTTGACAGCACAACAAGCGGAATCAGACACACTTGACTTAATCCTCATGCCTTAACTGCCAGATCAAATCATAGCCTTCATTTTCATCTGAGCAATCTGTTTCTAGCTATTGTTTCCCACCTACTTTATGTGCAAGCTTGCTAAATAAAACAAACCAGCTGCACAAGAGCTAGTGTCTTTGCCAGAACCGGATCAAGAATTTCAACAGCACATTTACTAACTTAAAAGGAATATCGCTATCACACTTCTTTCTTAGGTATAGCAAAACAAAGTTAATTTAAACAAACACTCAAAAAATTGTTCTCATTTTGTTAGCTTATTAGGGCCACATGCTTGGTTAACCTTGGTGTAGATTGAATGCACATACTTCCCTCCAAATGTTACCCACAGTCTTTTTTCCAAAAGTCAATTGCTTTTAAGAGGTGTTTTCCAAGGACAATCCAGTTTCTCAGTACAGTATTTCATAAATTTTACAGAAAGGAATGAAGTTTTTTAAGAAGGTCAAAAAAAATTTAGCCTACAAAATACTCTTCATTATGGTTTGCGTGAAGAGGATTATGGGAACAATACAATGTTTGGATCCCAGATAAATCATTCCAGAACAACAGTTCGGAAAAAAGAATTATAACCAGGCAATAAAGAGATCTCACTTCAAAGTCACAGATGGAAAATAGAGTGCATAGAAAGATCCTTTGAAATAAAACTGCATTCTTTCAGTTGCAGTCTGAAGAGCTTTGGCTTTGCAATCTCTTAGGAAATTGATTATTGAAGCACTTTTCATTTGAGAAATCCAGTATATTTCTACTTGGATATGGCCTAGGCTTAGGCACTCGGGTGAGCAATATCACTGAAATTTCTTACTTGCAGTGGATGAATATGGGCCATGAGATTGGGCCTAGAATTATGCATCATAAACCAAAAATCCCACTGTTGTCTGTGCAAATTGCCCACTTTCATAGAAAACACGTGAATTATAAGTTCTTAATTCTTTTCATTTACTGTTGATGGTTTACTGGTCATTTTAGTAAAAGTTCCTGGTCTCATTTAGCTTCGAATTCTTGCCCAGAGAATTCAAGTACAGAGATGCAGTGAGTTCCCCTTCAAAACAATCTTCTAATATGGAATTCACTGCACCTAAGGCAAAATAGAGCAGTTGGAATGACATATGGTACCTTAAACAAAGATATAAACTACTCTCTCAATTATAACTGCTTGAGACCCTACCTCAGGATTCATCTCGCATTTATTAGGCATTACTGTATGTGTCCGAAGCCTTTCTGCTTGCTTTCCTTGGACAGTGATTTTTTACAGGTGGCTGGAGCCGGGACAGCCAGGACAGGGCTGCTGGACTACACACTGCCTCATCACGAAAATACCCAGTTAAAAATCAAACTGCGGGTGCTCCGGCTGCCTCTCCAGGCCGGGGCCTGCGGTGGGACCTGTCCTGCAACTGCCACAAAGAGAATAACATAAATGGAAAAGCCACCCCTCGCGGAAGGGGGGGGATCTCTTTATGTTTCCAAGCGGCTAATGAAAAATTTCCTAAAGCTGTTTGTCCGCCCTGGCCTGCCCCGCTCAAACCTCCTCCTTGCCAGCATCCACCCTCCCCTTTTCCCCGGGTTGGACACCTCCCCGGGAAAAACACTCGTAGGGATGGCGGGAAGATTGGGCACGTAGGGAGCGGGAAAGGGGGGGGAGACGGGCGCGCAAGGGGCAGGAGGGAAAGGGGGGACAAGGGCGATAAAGGGGCAGGAGGGAAAGGGGGGACA